GATCTCTATGAGTTCAAGGCCAGCCTGGTCTACATAGTGAGTTCCAGGACAGCTGGGACTACAGGGAGACCCTGTCTCAAAAAGACCAAGAAAACAATTATTATTTTTATTTTATGTATATGAGTGTTATGCCAGCATGATGTAAGTGCGCCCATGTTGTACAGTGCTGCAGAGGCCAGAAGAGGGTCTTGGATCCCCTGGAACTGCAGTTATGGATGATTGTTAGCCGCCATGTGGGTGCTGGGATTCAAACCCAGGACTTCTATAAGAGCAGCCAGTGCTTTAACCACTGAGCCATCTCTCCAGCCCCCTAACTTTGCCTCTGAGTGGTTTATCTGTCTCCTCTGGTAGATGTAAACTGAGCTCCAACCCAGGTAGGGTGCCCGAAACTCAGCTTCTGTCCTTAAGGAGCTTAAGTCAACACAACTGTTTTTCTCCTTTGTGGGCTGTTAGAAGAGGGATTCTGATACATTGGTCTCTGCAAGTTTCAGGAACAGCTGGGTTGAGTGAAATGGGAGTGTATTGGGTGAAATAACAGGATATTTAATATGAACCCGGCCTGGGAGTCTGTAGTGGGATATGTTCTGGTGCACACAGGGTAGAGTTTTTAGACTGCATCTGAGCCCCACACATTCCTCCCAGTGTACCTGGTGCTTTCCTGAGTGATTGCCCAGCTACCAGGTCTCTGCTAGACCTTGGATACCCCTCTTTGCAGTGCTACAGACAGGGGCAGGTAGTGTTAGGTAGGAAGCACTTGGAGCAGGTGCACTGTGAGGCCCTTTGGCAGTGTGGGGTGGCTTCTGTAGTTCCAAAGCCTCACCAACATTTGACTTACTTGGGAGCTTTACAGAAGATTGATTTCCGGGCCCTATCTGAGACCTAATGAGACCAACAGTCTGTTTTGTGGGTTGTACCATTTGGTATAAAGCAAGATCAGGGATCAGCTTGGATTTGATTCTCAGCAGGCAGCCAGCCTTGGCAGAGGAAGCCTTGATACCTAACAGCGACCCTGTTGGAGGTGGGTGGTGCTGGATGCTCAGGTTGATTGACCAATTGAGCCTTTGACAGGCTCAGCCTGTAGCTGTCATCTGTTCTTAAGGCTTGGAGCGGGGAACAAGAAGATGGAGCCATAGGAGAGAGAGGTAGCCTCTTCCTGGGAGAGACAGAACCACAGGTACAGTCCTGTTTGTCCTTCCCTGGCACTCTAGCCCATTTTCCTCTCTTTGAATCTCTTCCAAGGACAGGACCAGGGGGCAAGCTTAGAATTGAACCATCCTAGGTTTTGTTCATTTCAATAATATTTGGAGATCTAGGGGTATAACTCAGTGGTAGAACAATTGCCTAGCATCTATGAGGTCCTGGGTTCTATCACCAGCACCTGAAAACGATATGGTTTAAGATACAAGTGATATAATAAACTGCATATTTATTTTTTTCAACATATATTTTTGTTGAATTTTTGTGCATTTCACATAGTCTTAATCATATTTAGACCCCTGTCTTGTATCTGCACCCTTCCCCATAGCCTCCCACCAGATTTCATGCATTCTGTCATATATGTTAAGGCCTACTGAGTCAAGTTTGTGTCCCCAGGTGTCCCTCAGTGTGAGTTCATCCACTGGAGCCTGGTCAATCTGTGTAGTATCACTCCCTTAAAGAAGACCAACTCTCCCTCACCCAGCATAAACTGCATATTTAAAGAGAATCATTTGATACATTTTATTGTACATATTCCTTGGAAATATCATAGTCAAGATAATGATCACAGGGTTCCCCCCCATTGCTGGTGACTGAGCATGGGGCTTCATAAATGCTAGGCAGCACTCAACTGCTGAGCTACACCCCAGCATCCTGACCCCTTCCCTTAAGAAAATAGGAGACAGGGTCTCTTTAGGTTGCCCAGTCTTGTCTCAAATTTGTAGTTCTCCTGCTTCTCCTTGGGACTGGATCTTAAAAGCAAAATTCTGGAACTGAGCTAAGGCTGGGTCCTAGTGTCCTGAGAGGAGCCAGGTCACAGACTGAGGGCATGCTTGTTTCTGTCCCCTTTCTGAAGAGTGTCAGTGTGCCTGGTTGCCTTGTTGGTTTCCTTCCTTTTCTGAGACAAAAAGTTCTAGCAAGTAAGTAAAACTACAGAAGAACATGGTGTGTGTCTCTCTTTCCCTGGCAGGGGAGCTAATTCAGTTTGCTGCAGAAATATGGACCATGAAGCAAGAAGGGAGCAGACAGAATGATTTGGTCTGTGGCTAGCCTCCAATCTGCCTCTTTTCCTCATGATATTTGGCTGATAGCCCTGGAGTCCTTCTTGACTTAGGGCTCACTCTCTAAGTTTTTATTATCACTCTGTTTTGTTACTTACATTTTAGTTTGTTAAATGCGGTGGCCTTTGTGACTTTTTATCCCCTTTGAAAACTGAGAAAAAGCTATTTGATGAGCTCAGGGTAGTTTGCAGGAGAGATCTGTGGTGAGTTGAAGACAGAAAGGAGAATGAGATGGGATGGGGAGGGCCTGTTTGCCCATCACCGTGTGCAGGCTCTGCCCAGGCTGATGGGATGAGGAGTGGCAGCCCTGGCAGGGGGCCCTTCTGCTTCATGCTCTGAGAGGTACTCACAGGCAGCATTGCTATTTTTAATGTAATTTGGGGAGCTGGGTTTTAGTTCAAGCCCCGCCCTTCTTCACCCATCCAGATGGCAGAGTCGGCTACCACTGCTGGGGCTCATGCTGCCAGAGGAGAGGTGTTGTGTGTGGTGGGGGCACGGGGCTGGGACCCCACTGGGGAAGACAGAGTAAGCTGTCTCCTGCCCCACCTCTCCTGTTGACTCCTGTGTCCCTGAGCAGACGGGGCTCCTGTCAGAGTGACAGAAGGAGTGCAAGTCCTAGAATGGGGCCTGGCGCCGGATAGCCTTCTTTTTGTCTTAGGCTGAGGGAGAGGGAGAAGCATGTGGGAAGAAGAGCTGACACAATGGCCTGCCTCCTTTGGACCAGGAGTTGCACCTCTGTGCATGAGCTCATTTAACCCTCACAGGCGCCCTGGGAGCTGTGCTTTACTATCCCATTGTTCAGTGGAGGAGGCCACTGGCAGGCAGGAAGTGCTAAGACGAAGGGTGGACCCTAGGCTGATGTCACCACTGTAGTTTTTTGGGAAATATTCAAAGTCATCAAAAATCATTTAAAAAAACTCAGCTTGCTAAATATGCCTAGATATTCAAGATGTAAAATATGATTTGGGGGTTTATTTTTGAATGGATGATATAATACTAGACTGAGAGGGGGTCTCATTGTCCTCCGACAAGGGCTCATGTCTTGGAATTGAACAGTGCTAAGAATGTTACTGTCTCCCTTCCTCCCTGGATTAGATGGTACCCTTCTGGTCTGGGCATAGCCCTTTCTTGTTCCACCCAGACCCTGGCTTTCCAGTATTCTTTCTTTCTGGTATACTTGCCTGGTGCCCTCAATTTGCCCACTTCATTTTGGCATATCACTCCCCTTTCCCTTACTGGGTGGTGTCTCTCCTCCTATTACCGGATCAGGATCAGGCTGTGGACATCCCCCCAAAACACACACACACACACACACACACACACACACACACACACACACACAGACACACACACACACACACACAGAAACACACACACACACAGACACACACACACACACACACAGACACACACACAAAAACATGGTCTGCACAGATACCTCTGATGTGACAGGACCCTGAATCAGAACTTGGAGCTGCAGTGTTAGAGGTAACATGGCTCCCTAGACCTCCAACAGGCCACCCCAACAGAGCTTAGCCATTGCATATGGCACTGTGGTGAGTCCAGGGCCCTTGTGTATCACTGGTACCTCTGACCCAGGCTGGAGTGAGTTTGGGGTGTTCATGAAGATCTTTGCTTGCTCTTTGCAGCTGACTGTGCAGGCTTCACACAGCAGGAGGCTAGGCTTTGTGTGTGTGGTGTGTGTGTGTGTGTGTGTGTGTGTGTGTTTTTTCTTGTCCTTGGCTTCTGGCTATGTGTGCAGTCACCATAGTTGTCTACCTCTTGTCCCAACTGTGAGCCTGGGGCTTAGCCAGAGCTTAGGAAGCTGCACTGTACAGTAGACAGACTTGTTCTGTGTCCCAGGGGCCCCTGTCCTCTCAAGAGGCACCCCTCAATGCATCTGCTAAACACAAGACTTGGCAAGATGGGAGATGCCTGTAGTACAGAGCCCTCTAATGCACACCTCTCATTGCTTCTTGCCTGCAGGCCCGGGGGTTAAGCAGAGAAGAGCAGGATGACAGCCAGTCCAGCCCAGATGAGCCGCAGTGCAAACGGCCCCAAGTCTCTGAGAGGTACATTGTATGGGAGGCTGCCTCAGGGATCCAGGGTGTGGTGTGTCTTTAGGGTAGGATGGGATTGGGTAGAATTCCTGGCCTTAGTGGTTGGCATTGACACAGTGTGCCCTTGCCAGAGATAGACGGTGACCTGACTGACAGTGCAAGGTCTGTGTGTGTGTGTGTGTGAACCCCCTTGTGGTGCAGTACTGTGGCAGGAGTGTGAAGTGCCACTTGACAGGACTTTTCATATGGCACTGTGGTGAGTCCAGGGCTCTCTCGTTGTCACTGGACTGGATCGATTAAGCTGTGTGTATATGGTCATGAGCCAGGCCTGAAGTGGTCTGTTGGAGGTCTGGGGAACCATGTTACCTCTAACACTGCAGCTCCGAGTTCTGAGTCAGGGTCCCGTCACATTAGAGGTGTTCTGTGCAGACTGTGTGTGTGTGTGTGTGTGTGTGTGTGTGTGT